GGGGCGGATGCAAAAGTCATGAAAGGCCTCAACAAGCAGATACAACTTTCGGCACGGGCCGACAGGAAAGCGTGGCTGGAAGAAGCAATAACACAAAACGGATGGCAAGCTATTCGATCACTCCGGAAAGGGCGGCCGATGAAATATGGACGTCTACGGGATACCCAGGGTAATCTAGTTGGCGCAGAGGAGCGAGCCGAAACGATGGCAAACTATCTGGAAAAAGAACAATGGAAATTATGTCATGAGGCAGAACAGCTTCCCAACCTAGCGGAGGACAGCAGCTTCTTACCCATCGACGTTGGCAGCATCGATTTGGAAGAGGTTCGACGAGCAGTCAAACGCTTGAAGGTGCAGAAAGCGGCCGGGAATGATAGAGTACCCCCTGATCTATGGCACGCGCTATGGAGGAACAGCGCGGCCCTAGAGATATTAAGACAGCTGTGTGACGATTGTTGGCGGCAGAAAGACATGCCAGCGCATTGGCGAGAAGCTTCGGTTGTATCAATATTCAAAAAAGGCGACACCTCCGAGCCATCCAACTATAGGCCCATATCCCTGTTAGCGGTGGGCTATAAAGTTTTGGCCAGTATAATTTTACACCGACTCAAGACTGGAGGCGCTGAAGAAAAACTACGAGAATCTCAATATGGATTCCGGCCTGCCCGGGGCACCGGCGACGCACTATTCTTAGTGCGAAGACTCATTGACGCTGCACTGGAGGACAAAAATGGTAAACTGTTCCTGCTGTTACTAGACTGGAGCAAAGCTTTTGATCGTATCAGACCAGCGGGGCTACTGTTCGCACTCCGCCACTTCCAAGTACCACCCGCCATGCTGAACATGATTGCCGCGATCTACAAGGCGCGCAAGTTTGTCGTCACAGATGGGGCAACAACATCATCGCAAAAGTGTCAACCAGCTGGAATTGCACAAGGTTGTCCTTTATCTCCTTATCTGTTCGTAATCGTTATGTCGGTGCTTCTCGAGGCCGTCGACAAGGACTTCCACGCGCAGCCGGGCATCTCCAAGAATAAGCCGTATGTGGTTACTAATGACGTGCTCTACGCCGACGACACGCTGCTCGTGGCACAGTGTCCGGAGTCACTTCAGAGGCATTTTCATATCGTGTCAAACATTGGGAAAACTTTTGGGCTCGACCTGAACGCTGGCAAAACATTATTACTGAAAATCAGATCGCATGCTACGGTTTTGGGGCCGAATGGAGAAGAAATCCAATCTAAAGACGACGTTGTTTATCTTGGTGGCCTCTTAAGCGCAGATGGTCGGCCCAAGGCTGAAATAACGCGCCGCCTCGGAGAAGCAAAAGGAGCATTTGACAAATTATGTGCTGTGTGGAACCATGCAAACATGACCAAGCAGCACAAGCTACGAGTACTGCAAGCCTGCGTCTTCTCCAAATTATTGTACGGATTGGAATCTTGTGTATTATTGCAAGCAGACAAGAACAGACTGGATGGATTTCAAGCCAAATGCTACCGCAGAGTACTGAAGATCCAACCGGCATTCCTATCTTTCTTCAGCAATCAACGCGTCCTGCTTGAAGCACAATCTCCTCCATTGTCAACTATACTATTGGAGAGGCAGCTTAAATATTACGGTAAATTAGCAAGGGCACCTTCGCAATCGTTGCCGAAAGCAATGGTGTTCCAGCCAGGCGAGGCGCACTCCCTAATGCCGCGGGAATGGCGGTCCCTGAAGAATCGAGGCAGACCGCGCTTGCAATGGACCAGTTACATGCACGCCCGCGCGCTGAGAGTCGCAGGAGACGACCCCGACCGCCTGCAGATATTATTGAATTCTCCTCCAAGGGAATGGGATGCAGCTGTTAAAGAGTATTGTAAACAGTCAGTGTGACTGCGATGAGTTCCCTCGCTCTGCTCATTCGCCTCCCTCCTCCCTGTCCCCTCCCCGCCCCCCCCACCCTCTTCAGACGGAGTGTTGCTGCGTACCCTCGCGCGCCATTTGCGCAAAGCTTGCAAGTGGTTGCCGGCCGAGGCCCAGTGACATTTTCCACGTATGCATGTGCACATTTCCTGCCGATGCGCCGTCTGGGCGCGGCTCTCTGTTGTTGTTGGGAGCGCTCTTGGAAGCTTTTTGAAGCCTGTTGGGGCCGTCCTGGAGGCCTCTTGGGCCATCTCGAGGTCACGTCGGTCACTCTTGGAGCGCTCTTGTGCTGTCTTGGGGGTCTCTGGGACGTCTCCGATGACCCCCCTGATCGAACTAGGTGTGCTGGGAAAGCTTGGCAAAACGCCCTGCGAAGCCCGGGGGGCCGCTCCGAGGCCCGTCCGGAGGGATCCAAAGCCCCAGATCCCGGGAGTCCAGTTCCCCCCGCCCGGGCTTATAAAAATAAAAGAGGAATATACGTGTGTGTATATATATATATATATATGAACTGCCGCGGGCATCTACCTCGATCGAGAAGAAGACGAGGAGAAGGACGAGGAGGAGGAAGAGGAAAAAAAGAAAGAACATTTCATCGTCGCCGCCGATGTCTCACAGATTTCTATAGTCTTTCGACCACCCGAGGCATCTCCTCGAAGTCAGTCTCCAAGAACCGTTTTCGGTGCTGGGGACCACCGCCGAAAGTCCAGGATGAGAATCGACCTCCCTGGCCGGTGCCACCCCTTCGCCAAGGAAGGAAAACGGGTTGGATCGAGGCTCGAGGCATGAGGCTCCTACTTCTTGGGCGCTCTCCGCCCCCTCTGGGCCTTCAGGAAGCTCCTCGTCGACACAGCTGGGTCCACTCTCAAACTTCTGACCGGACGCAACCCCAGCTGGGTCGCAGCGATCCCCGAGCCTATCCAGGAGGTGGAAAAGGAGGCCTGGGACAGGCCCCGTGGAGGCCCCAAGAAACTCACTACGAAAAACTTCAAAACAATCCCCTACAAGGCCCCCCCTTGAACCCCACAAGCTACGTAGGACAGGCCAAATCCTCAAGATTGCCCAGCGATCGCGCACGTTCCGCGAATTCTGTCTTTCACTCTTGCTGCCGCCCGAAGGAGTCGGCTGTGCGGCGTAAGCCAATGAATCGATAGAGATCCTCAGGAGATACATCGATGTCCGAGGACATCAATAATTGGCTTCCTTCGAACATCCATAAGAATCCTGAGGACCTCTATTGGATTTCTTTTGGATTCCATGGGATTTCTTTGGAGAGCCACAGGAATACAAAGGAACACAAAGGGAATCCTTTGGATTCAGGACCAGGGATTCAAAGGACGAGGAACCCCAGGACCAGATTTCAAAAAAAAACTTGGACTCTGGACCTTCGGTTTTGTGTAACAATCAAGTCGATTTACCATGGCGGCTCATTGGCGGGGATATAAAAAACAACGGGGATAAACAAGTTCGGGGCGGAGGAGGAGGAGGAAATCCATAGGACATCAATCGAATTCCTTCGGGAATCCTCCGGAATCCAAGACATCCAGAAGATTCCTGAACAAATCAATCGGAACCCTTAGGAGTCCTGGCTACTCGACATACGAAAAGAGCAACTTCGTTTCGCAACTGTCCCCGTGATATAAAAGATCGGCCTTGCCGCCTCTCTTCCCTGGCCAAAACTGTATTGGCCGTGGATAATCCACACTCAGTACTGAAAGGGGGGGTAATTGATTATCGGGAGGTGCGGGTTCAGGCAAGGAGTGCGAACCGATCTTGGATCGCCTGCTGAACCCTCGCACTACGGCCGCACGTCCGATGGCTCATCACTGCCGTCCTGCGGTCGCTCCGCTTGCGTTGGTGCTGCTGCCGATGTCGCCTTCCTGACGTTCGCATTCCTGACCGTCGCGATGGTCATATATGTCGGGCCGGGCGAAAGGGTGGGATAGGGGTTTGAGAATCAGCTCACGTAGCTGATTCTCCCGGCGCCGGGAGGCGGCCATGTATCGAGGCATGGGCCCCCGAAACCAGCTGCATGCAGCAGATTTCGTACCCCCCCCTTTCCCTATTCCCCCCCTTTCGTCCAGCCCGAATATGATCCGTGCGGTTTGGCCCAGCATGCCATACAACGGACGCGTCCACAGCGGCAGCGGCAGCAAAGCCATCAGACTCGAGATCACCCCCCAGTGGCCCTTCCCCCGGCCTGGCGCCCCGCAGGCCGGAAGGGGGGGTGCGAGGACAGGGGGGAGGGTGGGCGCGGGGGCGGGGCCACGGGGGTGATGTCGAACCTCATGCGCGCAACTGTTTTCACGGGCATCGAACGCATCGCTCGCAGGACGACCGTCTTATCCAGCCGCAGGAAGTCTGGGGCCCAATCGTGGGTCACGCTCGCACAGGGCGAGCAGCAATCGGATCCCACCGGAAGCACCAGGCTGTGTCGTCCAAAATTCGATCTGGTCAAACTAATCACAGACCTTGGACCTCCTCATCATGGCCCCTTGGCCCCTCATCATCATCCCCCTCCAACCTCAGACCTCGAACCCGAAACTACCTCTCCGGGCGCGCCGCCGAGATGGCGCACCGAGCCTTCTGGGAAGGTCGGCCCATTCAGAGATCCGATGTCGTGTTTCTTTTCAAGACGGGGTCCCCGGAAGGCTCGACCCATTCCCCAGGACCGGTTTCTCGTCCTGAGTCGTTTTTGGACGGCCCCGAGGCCCGGCGAGGGCCCCTGGGGGCCGAGATTGGCCAAAAAGACCTCCGTCTTGATTTTGGTCAAGAGTTACGTTGGACCTCTGGGGCCCAGTCTCACTTTCCCCCCTTGGGCTCCCCGCCGGGCCTTGGTTGACGGCCCCCTCCCCTGCTGCAAAGGCCTCTGCCCGCACAGCCTCGGGAGCGGCCAAGAGGGGGGGGTGTCCAAGAGGGGGGGGTGCAAATCATGACCGGCGGCATGTGCGCGGCCCAGCGGGGGGGCCAGGGACGTAATGAAACAAGAAGAGGCGCCATGAGATCTGGGGAGATATCATGGCCCCCGCCATGATATCCGCCCCCCCTGGTCATCACCCCCCTCTTTTCCGCCCCCGAGAGCCCCGGCAGGGGGCCGTCCCGGCAGGCGCGCCCCTGCACGGGTCGGGCGCGTCCACGAGCACCTCGGCCGCCGGGAGGCCCCCCCGTGCACGCCGCGGGGCGCTCGGGAACGCCGGGGCGGCCGCGAGCCAGGGCCCAGCGCGGCGGGGGAGAGCGGCACGGGGGGAGGAGGGCAGGCAGGACACCTCCTCGCGCCGGGAGGCCCCTCCCCCTTTTCCTCCCCCTTTTCCTCCCCCTCCCCCTCCCCCTCCTCCTCCTCTCCTCCTCCTCCTCCTCCTCCTCGCTCCTCCTCCTCCTCCTCCTCCTCGCTCCTCCTCCCTCCTCCTCCTCCTCCTCCTCCTCCTCCTCCTCCTCCTCCTCCTCCTCCTCCGCCTCCTCCTCCTCCTCCTCCTCCTCCTCCTCCTCCTCCTCCTCCTCCTCCTCTCTCCTCCTCCTCCTCCTCCCTCCACCCTCCTCCTCCTCCTCCTCCTCCTCGCCCTCCTCCTCCTCCTCCTCCTCCTCCTTCCTCCTCCGCGTTGCAGCCCAGCCCTGCGCAGGACAGCTTCGGACGTGACGTTAGCTTCGGCCAGGATCTCCGGCCTCCCGGGGCCCCCGCCCCTCGCGCGGGGCCGTCGCCAGAGGGCCTCGGGGACGGAGAGCCGGTCTCGGGGAGGCGGTCTCCAAACCAGGTGGTGAGACACCCGGTGGTGACCCCGATTCCCCCCAAAAAAAATTCTGGGTCACCACCGGGTTTGGGGACACGCGGTCGCCACGAGGTTTTGCGTTTCCTGGGCCAGCCAGCGCTCGAAAACCATTACCCAAATCGCCCAAAACTCACCACCGGGTGTTCTCACCACCACGTTTGGGGATCACCAAGTCTCGGGGAGGCGGTCCAGACCTCTGGGAGTGCGCGCTGTGAACCGGAGCACAGTCGGTCGGCAGTGACCAAACCTCCCTTTAGTAAACCTCCCCTTAGTGAAAACGGCCTGGGACCGAATCCGACGGACCTGGACCCGCAAAAATAACGGCCGCGACGCCCTCTCGCGAACCGAAAACGGCGAATTCACTAATCGACATGTCAGGGTAGGTCTATCCACCTCCGAGTCGGACTTGATGAGAGAGGACACGCGAGAGGACACAAGACCCTTCCGAGGGCCACACTGCTACAGGAATGCAGGAAGCATGGGTCGCGAGACACAGGGCGCGAGGGTACCCTTGATTCGGCAGGGTCGACCTATACTAATCCGGGCCGACTGCACGGCGCGGGCGTTCTGGGAAGGGCGGGGGTGAATAGCAGGAGGACGAGCAGCAGGATCGGGACAAGGAGGAGGGGGCTTCCAGGGCAGGAGCAGGGAGAGGCGGGAGGGCGTGGGGAGGAGGAGGGAGCGGCAGGAGAGAAGGGCGAGGGCACAGTCAGGCTGCCGATTGTTCGCGGCACTGGCCCTGACTACCTATTCCTCCTCCTCCTCCTCCTCCTCCTCCTCCTCTTCCTCCTCCTCCTCCTCCTCCTCCTCCTCCTCCTCCTCCTCCTCCTCCTCCTCCATACCAAACCGCCCCCATCCAACCCGAAGACCCCCGCACCTCGCCCGACTTTCGGGTTGGGCGGGGGGGGGGGGTACGGGCTCCGTGCGCGTGCTGTTTTCTGGGTTTCTGTCTTCTCCCCCACTTCCCATATTTTCCCATATTTTCTCTTGGGAATCGACGATTCATTGTGTCTGTGTTTTTTCCCTCCTGCAAGTCGGGGCCTTCGGGTCGGGTTGCGGTAGTTCTGGTGGGCGGCGAGGCCCTGGGCTTGAGTCGGGCCTGTCCTCCTACAGGGGGCTTTGGGCGAAAAGTGAAAAATACCCAACAAAATCCGCCCAAATTGTCAAAACATGGTGGAAACATAGTCCCCAGACTATTTTGTTGACTATTTTTGAATCTTCCCCTTGTAGGGGGACAGGCCCGGCGAAAGTGGGGGATAGCAAAGGGGGGGGTGAGACTGGTTTCAAGTAGCTGATTTTCCTGGGAGGCGCCCATGTATCGAGGAATGGGCCCGGCAGCGGGGCCGAGACCAGCTGCATGCAGCAGACTTCGTAACCCACCCTTTCCCTATATCACCCCTTTCGTTCGGCCCGGGTGTTCATGGTAGAGCGGGCATCACACGTATTCGCCCGGCAGCCGCCCCTGGATACACGTATTTGGACGCCCGAAATGGGTACGGAAAGAATGGGTACAATGCTCAACAACACATGTTGTCCCAAACCAACAGCGGCCGCTGTTGGGCAGGCGGCCTTCTGTCTCAAATGGACACAGGCCGCGGCGACACCGACAGCGAGTCCTGTCCAAAATGAACCAGAACTGCTGCTGGGCATCGTACCCATTCTTTCCGTACCCATTCCGTTCGTACCGAACGGATTGCTCTCCCCTGGGCTACAGTCGGGGCCTTGACCTAAGGAACCCTAAATAAGGAACGAAGCCCCTTTTTCATCCCAAGGAATAACGCATAGAGGAACGATACATAACAAATAACGCATAAGGAACTGTAAGTAACACATGCAAACCTAAGGAACGACCGAGCTCCTTTTGAAAAGTACGTGTTCCTTATTCAAGCCGCCCACTGTATTCGCCCCTATCGTCGCCTCTGATGGGGGGCGGGGAGGCCCTGCGGCGTCGGGGCCTGCGGCCCGAGGCCGCCCCGCGCCGCAGGGGGCCCCCGGGCCGCGGGCCGCGGCCGCGGGCGCAGGGGCTCTTGCCCGGCGGGGTCGGGGTCGGCGTGAGGCGTGCAGGCCCCCTCCCTCTCTCCCCTCCTCCTCCTCCTCCTCCTCCTCCTCCTCCTCCTCCTCCTCCTCCTCCTCCTCCTCCCCTCCCTCCTCCTCCCTCCCTCACTCTTCCTCCTCCTCCTCCTCCTCCCCCTCCTCCTCCTCCTCCTCCCCTCCTCCTCCTGCAGCTCCTCCTCCTCCCTCCACCTCCTCCTCCTCCTACTCCTCCTCCTCCTCCTCCTCCTCCTCCTACTCTTCGTCGTCGTCGTCCTCCTCCTCCACTCATTACACACCAGTGCTTTGAAGGCACGAGCCCCCGGCGCACGCGGGCACGCCTGAAGGGAGCATGCAGTACAGTCAGCCAGCACAGAAAGGATGCACCATTTCGAAGGCCCTCGGCAGCCCACTGCGAAGGTCTCGTTGCGGGGCGCGACCAGCGGAAGCGGCCGAGGATGCCCCGAGGAGGCAAGGACGCACGGGCGCCCTTGGGGAGATTGCCCGTCCTCACTGTGCGGGTGGACTGTATTTTTGGGCGCCCGAGTTATCCAGGGTAACTCGGGCCCAGGGTAACCCGGGTTTGGATTCCCGAAAAACGAACCCGAGTTAGCCCTGACCCGAGTTACCCCTGATGCTTCGGGGCTCTGATATTTGGCGGCGCGCACACGGGGGTGGAGGGAGGGGGAGGGCTTCTTAGAAGGAGGCTGCTTCTTAGAAGGCGCCGGCCTTGCATCTAGAGGCGAGGCCCGCGCCTCCTATGAGAAGCAGGGGTGCTTCCTGAGAAGCCCTCCCCTCTCCCCCCACCCCCCTCTGCGCATGGCTGGAGAGTATGCAGACAGGCCGCGCGGCCAAGCGCAGAGCAGACAGACGCCATGCCGACAGCCAAGTCCACGTCTGCACAGCACGGACTTGCGTCGGAGGCCCCGGCGCCGAGCCCCCCAAAGAGGCGGGCGGAACTCGCGCCCAGAGCGGCCCCCTGTGGTGGACGCCCGCTGAGATGCAGGTTGCACATCGGTTGCCCATACGTGCGATGATTCCGCCGCTGGAAAGGGTTGCGGGACGCATCATGCTACGCGCCCCTGGTAGTATTCCAAATCCCTCGTTCGTCGTCCCCCAGGGTCCGGTTTTTTAAGGCGCCCTTTTTTTGTAACTGGAGGGGTCCGGATTATGAGGGCGCTTTCTAAGGATTGGAGCCTGAGGGGTCCGGTTTGTGAAGGCGCCCCGTCGAAGAGGGGGTCCGGAATACCAGGTCGCACTCGAAGGGGGGTCCGGTCTTTTAGGGGGGGTCGATTCAGAAGGGATTTGGCGTATCTCCCCCGGCCCTCCACGGTCCCGAAGCTCGCCAGCCCCGCAAGAGGGGCAATCGCGCGGCTGGCTCCAAGGCCGCACGACGGTTACGGTTAGGGCAAGGTCGCTTCAGGTCGCCCAGGGCTGTCTCTCAAGGCAGCCCAAGGGGCCCCCAACAGGCATCCAGGAGGGCTCGTCACATCTCTGAAACATCTTGGCGGAGTCGCCTCTTCGGCTTCCCGACGCTCCAAGGCGGCTTCAGAGGCCACCAGGATCGCCCCGGGACGGCCCGAGAGGCCTCCAAGACGGCTCCAAGGGGGGGCCCAGACGGGGTGCCCGAACGAACTTTTCGAGGCCTCGGCCCCGAGAGGCCCGCAGGAGGACCCACGTGGCCCCCAAGAGGCCCCTCAAGAGGCCCCTCAAGAGGCCCCAAGAGGCCCAAGAGAGGTTCACAGGAGGCCCAAAGGAGGCCCAAGAACAGCCCCCCAGAGGCCTCAGAACTGGTTCCCAACGAACATCCAAGAGGCCTAGAACAGCCCCCCAGAGGCCTCAGAACTGGCTCCCAACGAACATCCAAGAGGCCTCTCATCCACAACCCAGACACGGTGGCGGGGTGGGCCGAGAGCCATCTGATACTGTAGGGCAACTCGCGTTTCAGGATCGCGAACTGCAAGGAGGTGCAGGGGGAAGCGACCACACCAAGATGCGACGGCGAGACTTTCTTTCACGAGCTGGCACTTCAACGACGGAGCCCGAAGCATGGTGCCGTATCCCGAGGATGCCTTGAAGAGTGCGAATCCAACAAGAAGCACTCCCCTCCTCTTGGGGCCCTATCTCTCGAAGCCCCACCCCCGAGACCCGACGTTACGGAACGAATTGCAACACCGCAGAGATCACCACCAGAGCCGGGATCCTTCGTCCTGCCGAATGCTGAGAGCCAGATCGAGCTGTGATGGCCCCAGGTCCGAAACACGCCGAGGGCGCACGGTGTGAAAAGACTGCAGCACCCGGGTCTCGGGGACCTTCGACTGGCCATCGCTCGTGTTTGTTTCGGTTTCGTGCGCATTTTCTTCGCCAAAAAGAAAATCCTCGATGGTCCTCGCCGAAAGAAAAATGCACACGTCCGAGCGATGCCAGGTCGAACCCCCCAAAGGAGAAAGGCCCATACGCCTGGGCCTCGCTTCTGCTCGGCACGTGGGCCTTCGACCCCATCGCCCACTCGCCCAGGCCCCGGTGGCATCCCGGGCTGCTTCTCTCTTGGCAGCCCCGAGGCGCGGTGAGGGCCCCGAGAGGCTGGAAGCTATGAACAGCTGAAGGGGCCCAGGGACACACAAAAATATCCACACACACACAAAGAATGGAAGTCCCCATATGTTTGCCTCTTATCTTTGTGAGTTTCGCCTTCCCCCCCACTTCCCAAATTTTCTTGACATTTCTGGGGGATCGACGATTGATTGTGCCTGTGATCGTTCCTCTGGCTCTCCTTGATCTGATCCTGGCCTGGGCACACGTGCCCCCTTGCTTGCGGTGCCGTGCTCGCCCTGCCGAGAGCACAGCTGCGCAGTGACTATACCAAGAGGCCGCGCTCCCTCTCCGAGCCGCGGCGCAGGAGGGGCCCCACGTGGCGGCTCCGCCTGGCCGAGCCGGCCCGAAGCCGCCGGCGACGGTCTCCTCGGCCGAGAGGGTGCTGAGCAGCCGGCCACTCTTCAAGACCGCGTGGACTCGCCAGACTCCCCCCCAGAGATCCAACGTAATGAAAAAATCAAGACGGAGGTTTTTCGCAAATTTCGGCCCCCAAGGACCCTCGCCGGGCCTCGGGACCGTCAAAAAACGACTCAGGATGAAAAACCGGTCCTGGGGAATGGGTCGAGACTTCCGGGGACCCCGTCTTGAAAAAATCACGACATCGGATCTCTGGGTCTGGGTCCCAGCCTGCCCGCACGGTGATCTGCCAACAGCTGGCCGCAGATGTCCACGAGGAGAGTGTCGGGACCCGTCTCGGTTCTGGAGCGCTCCGCCCCGCAGCAGGGCACGAGGCGCCTCGAGTCGCCGTCGAGCAGCGCCTGCAGCAGCAGAGCTGGCAATAGGTGAGCTGCGTAGGTCAGGCCCGCAGCCAGCGCTGGGAGGAGGTTGCGCTGACCCTCGGCATTGCGGCCGCAGGCCACGGCGGTGCCGTCGCTCCTGCGCAGGGCGCTGTGCCTACCTCCGGCGGCCACCTGCGTACAGGTCAGGCCCGCAGCCAGCGCCGGGAGCTCGCACTGACCACACGTATTGCTGCCACAGGCCACGGCGGTGCCGTCGCTCCTGGGCAGGGCGCTGTGCCGGAGGGCTGGGGGGTGAGACCGCAGAGGAGCGGAGAGCCTCCCACAGGGCAATCGGTTTCGGCTTCGTGCTCGTGTCGCGCGCGAGGGCGAAGCGACGCTGCGTGGGCGCGCGAGAAGGCTGATCCCGCCGTCGCTAGGGCGACTTGGACGCAGAAGTCCGGCCCTCCAGTGAGCGCCTGGTGGCGGGGGGGGCCCCGCCGTGGTGTCCCGCCGTGATCCCGCTGGTGTCCCGCGGTGTCCCGCCGTGGTCCCGCTGGTGTCTCGTGGTTTCCCGTGGGTGGCGTCCCGTGGTGTCCCACGGTGTCCCGCAGTGTGACGCGGTGTCCAGTGGTGTCCCGCGGTGTCCCGCCGTGGTGTCCCGATAGTGTCTCGATCGATAGTGTGCATGCTCGTGAGATCGAGAACGACCGAGGTGGTGAGATCGATAGTGAGATCGATAGTTGGATCGATAGTGAGGTCGATAGTGAGATCGGTAGCTACATCGATCGTCAGAGCGGTAGTGAGATCGATAGTGAGATCGATAGATGCATCGATAGTGAAATCGATAGTGAGGTCGATATTGCCATCGATTGCGAGATCGACAGTGAGATCGATTGTGAGATCGATTGTGGGATGGATTGGGACCGCTCCAGGGAGCGAATGTTGTTCCTGCGCGCTCCAACAGCGAGCGCGCAGGAGCAACGGGAACGCTTGATTAGGCCCACGTTCTCCCAAGCTCTGTGGCCCAAACTATGCCAGGATCAGTCGGCTTCTGAGCCGTGTTGGCAACGACTCGGTCACCGATTCCGACGGTCGCGGGCTACTGGCGCGCAGTTCACTTGGAGGTGATGGCACGAGTGCAGAAAAAAACACATCACATCGCCATCAACACTTCACCACCACAGTCAGCAAGCAAGCATCCATCACAGCGCGGCGGCGGCGCTGATTTGGCTCGATTCGTGCTCAACGCCACTCAGCGTGAGATCGCCAATGGGATCGATCGCTGGATCCATCGATACTAAGACTGGCCGTGAGGTCGATAGTGAGATCGATCGAGTGAGATCGATAGCGGGGTCGGTAGTGACATCACATCGCGGCGCAACATCGTCATCACGCGTCGTCGCCAACACGAGGTTGTGCCACCAGCATTGTCATCCTCACACACGTCGCAGTTGCAAGTAATCGGTTGTTTCCCCTCCCCCAACCTCCTGATCACTCGAAGGGTGGTCGTACAGGTATATCAGAGACAAGCACCGGGTGGAAAATAGACATCCCAGAGCCAACACTTAGCGCTAGTGTGATCGGATAAAGCTTTAAACGAGCATGTGACACATTTCAGATTCAGTACCTGCTGCGGCGACACCGAAAAGGATAAGCGTGTCTGGACGTCCGGTTCCTGTGGTTCCTGTCCAGATTCGTGATCCGCCACATCTGATGGACCAGAGTGCAGCCCCCCTCGCGGTCTCCTGCAGTCGCACTGCAGATCTGATGCGTCGCCACCCGCTGGGCGAAATTGTGGCTGCGCGTGCCCGATGGGAGCAAGAGATGTCACGATTCGATATCTTCTCTGTGGTACGGGGACACTGTCATGATCTTGCGATGCCCTGGAAGCCGATACGCAAAACTAAACAAGAAGGCTTGTCGAAGCTGTCCCTGTGAAGCCCGCAAGGCGCATACTAACGAGGGCCCGTTGGCAAGAGGGGCAGCACGCTCCGTCTTCGATCCCAGTAAAGCGTGATGTGTCTGGAACGACCAGAGACATGCAACTGCTTGCTCACAAAGCTGCAGTGCGAGAAGGCTGCAACAACCAAGGCCTGCATACAAGTGGTGCTGGAATTGACTTGCCCATTGCGCCAGCGCGTGACGTCGGACGGGTCATGGCCCTGAGAGAAGCAAAATCTACTACGCTGAGGGGCGATGTCAGGGGGGAAACATATACCTGAAATTGGTGACACATCGCCGATAAATCGACGATAGGCCCCGAAGGAGAATCCGGCCCCAGTCGGCGATGAATGAGCGATCGGAGGTCCATGAATCACCCCCCCCCCCCGAGCCTATCCCCTGGGGATCTCCGTCTCATTTGGGCAGGGACCGACCGTCCTGGCATTCCTATAGGCCTACCACGAGATGTTCTAAGAACCCAAACGTTTTTGACGAGCAAAAACAATGTTCTCGGAACATAAACCCGATGCGTTCAAACACGACAGTCTCAGCCAGAAATGTTCTAAGAACATGTCGCGCACACCACAAAAACCCGTGGCTGCTAAAACGGAGCTCCGGGAAATTGTTTTTTTTCTCTCCGTCCGGGGAGCAGCCCGTTTACTACTTCTAGCAAGCTGAATTTCATTCCGGGGAGTTGCTTGTTCTTCTTCTGGGAAGACCGTTTTAGCAGCCACGGATTTTGCCAGCCCTCGCCCAGCTTCCGAGCATCCCCCCCTGCGCCCATCTCCGCCTGCTCCTCCTCCTCCTCCTCCTCCTCCTCCTGCTCCTCCTCCTCCTCCTCCTCCTCCTCCTCCTCCTCGCCCCCCGACTCGTGCAGTGCCCTGCGTTCACCCATTCTGGCGGTGCCCGCGCACAGACGAGGCAGACGCTGCGCCCCGCGGCTGCGGGCGCCTTGTCCGGCCACTCCTGCAGCAGCGGGCACCCCGACGCCAGCTTCAGGGAGAGCTGGCGCGCGCACCGGCGGCCGCGAGCAGCGGGGCAGGCGGGGCAGGCTGGATGAGACGGCGAAACACCCGGCGGGTTCGAGGAGCCCTCGAGGGAGAAGGAGGAGGAGCAGGAGGAGGAGCAGGAGGAGGAGGAGGAGGAGGAGGAGGAGGAGGAGGACGAGAAGGAGGAGAGGGAGGAGGAGGAGGAGGAGGAAGAGGAGGAGAAGGATGAGGAGGAGGAAAAGGAGAAGGATGACGAGGAGGAAAGGAGGAGGAGGCGGAAGATGAGGAGGAGGAGGAGGAGGGGGGGGAAGGAGGAGGAGACGACGACGACGAACGAAAAAAACGCACTATCTCTTGGCGGCGCGTCCGCTGGCCTCCGCTGGCGGAACCGCCCTCGCGTCACCGTCGCCAGCTTCCACCACCGCCCTCCTCCCCTCCTCCTCCTCCTCCTCCTCCTCCTCCTCCTCCTCCTCCTCCTCCCACCTTCCGCCGAGGAAGAGATGCCAACCTCTTCAGTCCTCGAAGGCATAGACCTGTCTGGAGCGCGCCGTCGAACGCACGCTCAGAGGATCACAAACCAGCAGATCTGGCGCGTGGGCGCCAAGCCCGCGGATCGGGGCGACACGGGGAGCCAGCGCCGCCCGGCGTGGCGACGGAGCGCGTCGCATTCGTGTGAAAACGGGCCCCGTCGCTGAGACACGCGCCTTCATCCATGCCTGCGCTGCCGAAGCCTGGGCGTTGCTTACTGACGGGGCGATGAGTGGTGGGGGGAAGAGACGTGCTCTTCTCGGGCCCCGAAGGCTTCCTTTGGGGTCCTACAGGTGTGGGCCCCGTCACGGGCCCTGAAGGGACACTTGTCTGCAGCCCTCAATGCCCCCCATGTATCCCCCCCTTGCGCGACGCCCAAGCATCGTTGGTGCATATCCGTGTCGGAGGCCCATTTGGCGATGGAGCGCGTCGAATTCGCGTGGGAGCGCCACCCGTCGCTAAGCCACGCGCTTTCATCCATGCCTGCGCTGCCGAATCTTGGGCGTCACTTGCTGGGGGGGCGACGAGTGATAGGGGAAGAAGAATGCACTCCTAGGGCCCCGAGAGCCCCATTTGGGATCCCAGAAGCCCGGCCAGGGGCCCTAAAGAGCCCCTTGCCTGCATCCCCCGCTCCCCGCTGCCTCCCCATGTATCCCCTCCACTGCGCGACGCCCAAGCATCGCTGGTTCGTGCGACGCCCACGCATCGTTGGTGCATATCCGTGTCGGGGGGCGCCTTGGCGACGGAGAGCGCGTCGCATTCGCGTGGAAACGGGTCCCGTCGCTGAGCCACGCGCCTTCCTCCATGTCTGCGCCGCCAAAGCCTGGTCGCTGCTTGCTGACGGGGCGAGGAGAGGTGGGGGAAGGAAGTTGTCCTTCTCGGGCCCCGACGGCCCCCTCTGGGGTCCAAAAGGGCTCCTTTCCAGGTGCCCTGAAGGGCCCCTCTTCTGAACCTCTCGCCGCCCCCCGTTGATCTCCCCCCCCCTTGCGCGAGGTCCAAGCATCGTTGGTGCGCATCCGCGTCACGGGCCGATCTGGCGACGGAGCGCGTCGCGTTCGCGTGGAGACGGGGCCCGTCGCTGAGCCACGCGCCTTCATCCATGCCTGCGCTGCCGAATCTTGGGCGCTGATTCCTGGAAAGGCGGTCAGTGGTTTGGGAAGAAAAATGTGCACTTCCCGGGCCCCGACAGCCCCCTCTGGGGCAATTTTCTGCGGTCCTCTCCCGCTGCCCCCTCCTCCTCCTCCTCCTCCTCCTCCTCCTCCTCCTCCTCCTCCTCCTCCTCCTCCTCCTCCTCCTCCACTCATTTAGTTCCCCCCCATTGCGCGACGCCCAAGGAGCCGTGGTTCATCTCCGCGTCGGCGGCCGATGTGGCGACGCACCGCGTCGCATTCGTCTGGAAACGGGACCAGTCGCTAAGCACTGCGCCTTCATCCATGTCTGCGCTGTCGAGCCCGAGGCGCTGCTGACTGAGGAGGCGATGCACGATGGGGGGAGAAAGGTTCAATATTCGGGCCCCGAATGCCCCCTTTGGGGTCCTAACGCGCCGCGTCACGGGCCCTAAAAAAGCAACATTCATGCATATCCGTGTCGGGTGCCGATTTGTCGACGGGGCGCGTCGCGTCCGTGAGGGAGCGGGAGCCGCCGCTAAGCAACGCGCCTTTCTCCATGCCTGCGCTGCCGAATATTGGGCGAAACTTCGAGCACAGGCAGTGAATGGTGGGGGGGGGGGGGGGGAAAACACATTTCTCCGGCCCTGGAGGCGCCCTTTGGGGTTCTCAAGGGCCCCGTCAGGGGCCCCAAAGGGCATCTTTTCTGCAACTCTCGCCGCCCCCCCCCCCCATAGAGATCCCCCCGATGGCGCGACGCCCAAGCATCGTTGGTGCATCTCCGTGTCGGGGGGCCGACTTGGCGCTGGAGCGCGTCGCATTCGCGTGGAAACGGGACCCGTGGACAAGCCTCGCGCCTTCATCCATGCCTGCGCCGACGGAATTGGGCGATGCTTACTTGACCATGAAAAAAGCACATCCCCAATCCCAAAATCGCGGATTCGCCGAAGTTTCGAAGATCGGCCAAAGATGTCGAGGTATGTTTTGCGCTCGTCGTCGTCACCCTGGTAAAACCTTACCCCAAAATCTCCCTCCGCGAAGTCTCGAGGCGTCTGCGTTTTGTCTTGGCCCCCGCGTTTTTGGGATTGGGCGTCTGTTTTGAGTTCGTGACTACTGGTGGGGCGACGGAGTGGTGGGGGGACGAAGCTGCAAGTCTCGGGCCCCGAAGGCCCCCCGCCAGGGCCCTAGGAGGCCCCGTCACGGGCCCCGAAAGGCCACTCTTCTGCAGCCCCCGCTGCCCAGCGTTTACCTCCCCGCCCCCCCCCCCCCGAATGCAAATTTTCTGCAGCCCTCGCTGCCCACCATTTACCTCTGGGCCCCGACAGCCCCCTCTGGGGCCCCGACAGCCCCTCTGGGGCACTTTTCTGCGGTCCTCTCTCGCTGCCCCCTCCTTCTCCTCCTCCTCCTCCTCCTCCTCCTCCTCCTCCTCCTCCTCCTCCTCCTCCCCCACTCATTTAGTTCCCCCCCCCAGCGCGCGGAGCCCAAACGTCGGTGGTTCATGTCCGTGTCAGGGGGCCGGTTTGGCGACGGAGCGCGCCGCCTTCGTGCGGAAACGGGGCCCGTCGCTAAGCCACGCGCCCTCATCCATATGTCTGCGCTGCCACATCCTAGGCGTTGCTGGCTGAGGTGGCGATGGGTAGTGGGGGGAAGGAAGGTGCACTTCTCGGGCCCCGAATGCCCCCCTTTGGGGTCTTGAAGGGCCCCGCCACTCTTCTGCAGACCTCGCTGCCCCTTCGTCTATCCCCCACCCCTAGTGCGAGAGGCCCAGTGCGTCGCAGTCGTGTGGAGACGGGACCCGTCGCTAAGGCACGCGCCTTCATCCATATCTGCGCTGCCGAATCTTGGGCGTTGCTTACTGAGGGGGCGATCAGTGGCGGGGGGAGAAAGGTGCACTTTTCGGGTCCCGAAAGCCCCCTCGCGGGATCCCAACGGGCTCCGTCAGGAGCCCTCAGGGGCCCCGTCAGGGGCCTTAAAGGGAAACCCTGTCTGCAGCCCACACTGCAGCCCCCCCCCAATACAGTCATCGGCCTGACCTAAGGAACGATACATTCGCGGGCCCAACGGGCCAAGGGCGTGCTAAGACCTCGCGTAAGTGGTTAACAATATTTCTAGCTCGCGCGCGCGGGGCCGCCCCTGGGGGTCCCTGGACGAAACGCCCGCAAGGTCCCAGCAAAACCCTGGGCAGGTCCCGGGCAGGTCCTGGCCAGGTCCCAGCAGGCTCCCAAGAGCGCTCCAGGAGCGCTTCATGTGGCCTTCAAGAGAGCTCAGCATGGTCCGAGACGGTCCAAGAGCGATCCAAGACGCCAAATATTGCCCCCAGACCACCCACAGCGCCTTCAAAACGTCCCAAGAGGCCTCCAAGAGACCTCCCAAGAGGGCCCACAGAGGCAGAAATTAATGATTTTCCTTTAGTTTCTGATGGTTTTTGGCGTTCTCGCCTTTTCGGCTTACCGGCGCTCCAAGACGGCCCAAGAGGCTTCCAAGACCGCCCCAAGACGGCCACGAAGCCTCCAAGGGCCCCAAGACTGCCCAAGATGGCCCCAAAACAGCCCAAGAGGCGCCCAAGACGGCCCAAGAAAGCCCCAAAACGGCCCCAAAAGGGGCCCAAGAAGAGGACCAGGAACCAACAAGTCCTGCCTTCAGCCCCACGAGGCCCCCAGGAGACCCCAAGAGGCCGCCAAGAGGCCCCAAGGGGCCCGCAAGAGGCATGTCAAGAAGCCCCAAGAGGCCCCCAAAAGGCCCCAAGAGGCCCCAACACGGCCCCCAAGAGGATTCAAAACTGCCTCCCAAAGGCCCCTGAGAGGCCAACCACGAGAGCCTAACCAACATCCGTGAGGCCTCTGACCCGCCACCCACCGCCTCCGAAAAATGGCAGCCGCCCAACCGCACCGCATTGACAACAACACCCCGACAGACGACAGCGGCGAGGCAATATGGGCCGGCGGAATGAGCGAAGCGATTCAATTAGGAACGAAGCCCCTCTTTTCCAAGGAATAACGCATTAAGGAGCGATACATAAAAATAACGCATAAGGAACGATAAACAACGCATGCAAACCTAAGGAACGACCGAGCCCCTTTTGGAATTATCCCGGCAAAGCAACCTAACAGCGATGTGTAGGAGCATATCTGGAAGCATTCCCCTTAAGATTCAGATACGAATCCTGTTGTAGAATTCTGCTGTTCTCGCAGTCGTGGTCGCATTCGCGATCGCAGTCGCAGTGGCAACAGCAGTCGCAGTCACAGCCTCAGCCTCAGCCTGCCTCAGCCTCAGCCTCAGCCTGCCTCAGCCTCAGCCTGCCTCAGCCTCGCCCTCAGCCTGCTTCAGCCTCAACATCAGTCTGCCTTCAGCCTCGGCCTCAGCCTGCCTCAGCCTCACCCTCAGCCTGCATCAGCCTCAGCCTGCCTCAGCCTCGCCCTCAGCCTGCTTCAGCCTCAACATCAGTCTGCCTTCAGCCTCGGCCTCAGCCTGCCTCAGCCTCACCCTGCATCAGCCTCAGCCTCAGCCTCAGCCTGCCTCAGCATCAGCCTGCCTCAGCCTCAGCCTCAGCCTGCCTCTGCCTCAGCCTCAGCCTGCTTCAGCCTCAGCCTCAGTCTGCCGTCGGCCTCGGCCTCAGCCTCAGCCTGCCTCACCCTCAGCCTGCATCAGCCTCAGCCTCAGCCACAGCCTGCCTCAGCATCAGCCTGCCTCAGCCTCAGCCTCAGCCTCAGCCTGCCTCAGCCTCAGCCTCAGCCTGCTTCAGCCTCAGCCTGAGTTTGCCTGCAGCCTCGGCCTCAGCCTCAGCCTGCCTCAGCCTCAGCCTGCCTCAGCCTCAGCCTCAGCCTCAGCCTGCCTCAGCCTCAGCCTGCCTCAGCCTCAGCCTCAGCCTGCCTCAGCCTCAGCCTCAGCCTGCTTCAGCCTCAGCCTCAGTCTGCCTTCAGCCTCGGCCTCAGCCTCAGCCTGCCTCAGCCTCAGCCTGCATCAGCCTCAGCCTCAGCCTCAGCCTGCCTCAGCATCAGCCTGCCTCAGCCTCAGCCTCAGCCTGCCTCAGCCTCAGCCTCAGCCTGCTTCAGCCTCAGCCTCAGTCTGCCTTCAGCCTCGGCCTCAGCCTCAGCCTGCCTCAGCCTCAGCCTGCATCAGCCTCAGCCTCAGCCTCAGCCTGCCTCAGCATCAGCCTGCCTCAGCCTCAGCCTCAGCCTGCCTCAGCCTCAGCCTCAGCCTGCTTCAGCCTCAGCCTCAGTCTGCCTTCAGCCTCAGCCTCAGCCTCAGCCTGCCTCAGCCTCAGCCTGCATCAGCCTCAGCCTCAGCCTCAGCCTGCCTCAGCATCAGCCTGCCTCAGCCTCAGCCTCAGCCTGCCTCAGCCTCAGCCTCAGCCTGCTTCAGCCTCAGCCTCAGTCTGCCTTCAGCCTCGGCCTCAGCCTCAGCCTGCCTCAGCCTCAGCCTGCATCAGCCTCAGCCTCAGCCTCAGCCTGCCTCAGCATCAGCCTCAGCCTCATCAGCCTCAGCCTCAGCCTGCCTCAGCCTCAGCCTCAGCCTGCTTCAGCCTCAGCCTCAGTCTGCCTTCAGCCTCGGCCTCAGCCTCAGCCTGCCTCAGCCTCAGCCTGCATCAGCCTCAGCCTCAGCCTCAGCCTGCCTCAGCATCAGCCTGCCTCAGCCTCAGCCTCAGCCTGCCTCAGCCTCAGCCTCAGCCTGCTTCAGCCTCAGCCTCAGTCTGCCTTCAGCCTCGTCCTCAGCTTCAGTCTGCCTTCAGCCTCAGCCTGCCTCAGCCTCAGCATCAGCCTGCCTCAGCATTCAAAGTGTGGCCCGGGAATGGAGTTCTGGGAACTCGAAGAACACGAAATGGCCTACAGTTGGCTCCGGGCATTCAAAATCATGCCCAGGAATGGAGTTCTGGGAACTCGAACACCACGAAGTGGCCTACAACTTGAAGAGCACGAAGTGGCCTACAGTTGGCTCCGGGCATTCAAAATGTGGCCCGGGAATGGAGTTCTGGGAAGTCGAAGAGCACGAAGTGGCCTACAGTTGGCTCCGGGCATCCAAAACATTCACGAAATGCTGGCCCAGAATGTGGGGAATGGAGTTCTGGGAGGTCGAAGAGCACGAAGTGTGTGACTGTATGCAAAAAACGATCCCCCCCGGAAAACCCCAACGGCTCCCCAACGGCTGCCCAGACCCCCCTGGGGAGTCATCAGATGCTCTCTTTTGACACCACTAGAAACCTACCAGTCTTCGCTGTTAGGTAAAAATGTGTTCCTCATTCAAACTGCTCACTGTGCATCTCCACCCCATTGCGCGAAAACCGAGACTCGTTGGTGCATATCCGTGTCGGGGGCCCTCCTTTCACCGATGTCCCTAGAACTAGGTCGGGCATGTTCCCCTACATGCGGATTGTGGGCAACAAATCAAAAATGCGAACAAAAATGCCTCAAGATACACACACACACAAAATCCTAAAACAAACAATCCCCTGACTAGTTCGTAAACCCTATTTTCGAATGTCCCTCCAGCAGAGGGGCACGCCCGATTGAACGCTAGAAGCCCCGACCCTCTCCCCCGGGCGCGCCGTCCATGCCAGCCGTGCAGTGCGACCAGGGGGCCGTAAGCGACACCAGAAGGAGCAGCACCAGGAAGGGGAGGAGGAGGAAGAGGAGGTGGGAGGAGGAAGAGGAGGAGGAGGAGGAGGAGGAGGAGGAGGAGGAGGAGGGAGGAGGAGGAGGAGGAGGAGGAGGAGGAGGAGGAGGAGGAGGAGGGAGGGAGGCGATTTGTTTTGTTCACGGCGATGGGGCCTGCGTCGAGCAGGTACCGGCCGTCCGGGCAGCCCCTCTGGGCGAGCGCGCTCCACTGCTCGCAGAGCAGCAGCTCGCAAGGTGGCCAGGAGCCGCAAGGCCGACAGGCAGCGTCGACGCAGGCATGTGCTTTTCGAGCGCTTGCGAGCAGGCGCTGTGCGAGTAGTGGAACGCGCTCGGCGACTCCTGGCCTGCCACGAGGTGCTCTCTGAAACCCAGAGGTGGTCGAGAACAGCAGGCAGCCGAGAGTTCAGACAAAGACGGTCTCGGCCAGAGAGGATCTGCTAACAGTGCGCGCACACCGCGAAAATCTCTTGGCCACTCTTTGGCGGGCCAATCGGGAAGCCAGGACGCCTCGTCACTGCTTGGATGCCGGGGGGGGGGTCTACCGACGTCCCACGAGCCCGAGGCTGGCTCCCCCGCCTCCCTGGGGCAACCAAGAGGTACCGATGCCGCGACTCCCCAGACCTCTCTTGGGGGGCGTTCTGACCAGGAGCTCGAGGAGAACCCAGCGGTAGCGACGAGGGCCTCCGAGGAGGCCCAGAAAGGGAAAAAACGGGGAAAGTGTAGAGGCATGGGTACCTTGTCCTCCTCTGGCCCACGCTGGCCATCGCCCGGACGTCCATTCCCTGTGTTTGTTTCGGTTTTTTGTGCGTGGGTTTTTCGCCAAATGATCAAGGATGCTCCTCGAGGGTCCTCGCCGAAGGAAACATGCACACGTCCGAGCGATGCCAAGGGCCAAGGGCGCAGTGTAGCGGTATTGGATACCTTGTCCTCCCCGGGCCCACGACCCCGAGGCCGGCCTCCCCACCTCGCCCCTCGCGCGCCCGCCTGGGTGGGCGGCGGCGTCTGCGTGGGCTCCGGCAGGAGCGGGTTCACGACCGCGCTGCCTGCGGGCCGCCGCGCGCCGGGCGGGGAGCTCAGGGCGCCCCGGTGCGGCTGACAGAAAATCGGGTCGGGCGAAAGGGGGGGGTAGCAAAGGGGGGGTTTGAGAACCAGCTCACGTAGCTGATTTTCCCGGCGCCTCCAGGCGCCGGAGGCGGATATGTATCGAGGAATGGGCCCCTCGGTGAGGCCGAAACCAGCTGCATGCAGCAAGATTCGTAACCCCCCCTTCCGCAATCCCCCCCTTTCGCCCGGCCCGAGAAAACTTGCCCTCGCTCGGACGTCCATTTCCCGTGCATCTTTCGGTGTCGTGCGTGTCTTTTGTTTGCTCGATGGTCCAGGATGGTCCTCGATGGTTCTCGCCGAGAAAAATTGCACACGTCCGAGCGATGCCAAGAAAAGGAGGAAGGAGCCCAGGGACACACAAATCACTAGACACAAACTCGCCGGCCCAACGGGCCAGAGGCGTGCCAAGATCTCCGGCAACTGGTTAACAATATGTCTAGTTCGCGCGCGCGGGGCGGCCCCTGGGGGTCCCCCGGCGAAAAGCATCTCGACAGCAGCCCGACCAGGTCTACTCAGAGATGGTTTGGAGGGCCCTTTTTCGACACCCCTCACGAGGATCGCGGCCTCCGAGGGGGGTGCACTCGACTACCCCGCCCCAAGAGGCCCCCAAGAGCTCCTCAAGAGGCCCAAGGGGGCCCCAAGACGCCGCCTAGGAGCCCCAAGAGACCCACAAGAGGCCCCCAAGAGGCCCCTAGGAGGCCCCAAAGAGGCCCCCCAGAGGCTTCAAAGAGGCCCCATAGAGCGCTCGAGGGCCGGCGGAATGAGCGAAGCGATTAAATCACAAGAGTCCCCATATTTTCCCATATGTTCTGGGTTTTCGTCTGCCCCCCACTTTCCATACTTTCCCATCTGTTCCTGGAAGTCGACGATTAATTGTGTCTGTGTGTTTCTTTCCCTCCTGAGAGGATAGAAGAAGAAAACAACGCCACATACATAAACGTGTTGGCGCCCTCGTCGGCCGAGAAAAAAAAACGTATCCTATCGGTTGCGGCATAGGTTGGCGCCCTCGGCGGCCGAGAAAAAAAAGTCCCCTATCGGTTGCGCCACAGATTGCGCCCTCGGCGGCCGAGAAAAAAAACGTCTCCGATCGGTTGCGCCATAGGTTGCGCCCTTGGCGGCCGAGAATAAAACCGTCTCCTATCGGATGCGACCAGTCAACCCAGTTCATGTCAGTTCAGTCCAGTTCAGCTTAATTCAATTAGTTTATCTCCCAAGACGCAAATTCGGGCTACGCCCGAAAAAACGCGCCTGCCACATACGAAACAGCGAAGCAAGGACACAGGAAGGCTGCAGCAAGCCAGAAACAGGCAGCACACACCAGTCAACACGGTACCTGCGATAGATCGATCGGCAGCCCAATCGAAAAGGCCTCGTGGTGAATACTATATGAAGTGCCGTAGTGCTCGCTCGCGTCCCCTTCACCCTCCTACCATTACTTACCCCACCCTTGGTCAGGAATGCTTCCCGTCCTTCTCTGGGTTCGAATCGTCTCCTCCCGATTACTTTGCCATCTCGCCCCCCCCCTCACATTGCTCCCTTCCTCCTGCTCTTCTCCCCATCCTCTTCAGCCCTGACTAGCTAGCAACATAATGGGACCATCTAGTCTCGAATGTCGATGGAGGACTGGACAATGCAACAGGAGACCTGGCTCTGAACTGAGCTTTGGGAGCCCACGCCTGACAATCCGAGCGGCAGCATTGGGCGGCGGCGTCAGAGAGCACAACAACATCTGAGCAACCTGGCCTATCACCGTGTCGAGAGGCTGATGATCCGCCCAGGGGTCCTTCGCAGATCGACGGGGGCAACGACAACTAGCTCACGACACGCGTGGAGAGAATGGATGGAGCCGTTCCAATGTGGATCGCACACTTTGAACGCTAGGGGATGAGAAGACAATTCTGAACGATCCGAAACGTCCTCGAAAACGTTGTGCTGAATATGCCAAAACCTACGATAGCATGGAGGTCTCTCGGGAGTGGCGGTGGCAGCGGCCGGTGCATGAAAGGTTGTGGTGGGACCCATCACGCCCCTGAATGTCTGATGAGATAGCCAGTGCCTGCTCTGCCAGACCGCACGCGCACGCCTGGGCCTCAGATGGGGGGGGGGCGCGCTCCCCGAGGCCACTGGGCACGTCAGGGTCAAGGGGCGTGCCCAGCATCTGCCCATGGCGGCGTGCACGAAAAACGCGCGGGATGCACTGGATGGCGTGCAGGCCCCGCGCGCGAACTCGTGCAAAAGACCCTCCACCGCGCACCCTGAGGAGGGGGAAGAGGAGGAGGAGGGGGAGGAGGAGGGGGAGGAGGGGGAGGAGGAGGAGGAGGAGGAGGAGGAGGAAAGGAGGAAAGGGGGAGGAGGAGGAGGAGGAGGAGGAGGAGGAGGAGGCGGAGGGGAGGAGGGGGAGGCGGAGGAGGAGGGGGAGGCGGAGGTGGAGGAGGCGGAGGAGAGGAGGGGGAGGAGGGGAGGAGAGAAAGAGGAGGAAGAGGAAGAGGATGAGAAGGACCACTCCCGCTCACCTCGCCGAGACAGCGCTCCGCTCTCGCCCCGCGCCGCCTGCAGGAGGACTCTCGCGCGGGCCTCTGCGCCCGACTCCGCCGAGCAGTCGCCTCCCGCCTCCGTCCGCCAGAGCCCACGCCTCCCCCAGAGCTCTCCTCCTCCTCCTCCTCCTCCTCCTCCTCCTCCTCCTCCTCCTCCTCCTCCCTCTCCTCGTCCTCTCCTCCTCCTCCTCCTCCCTCCTCCTCCTCCTGCTCCTCCTCCTCCTCCCTCCCTCCTCCTCCTCCTCCTCCCCTCCTCCTCCTCCCTCCTCCTCCTCCTCCTCTCCTCCTCCCTCCTCCTCCCTCCTCCTCCCTCCTCCTCCTCCTCCTCCTCCTCCTCCCCCTCCTCCTCCTGCTCCCTCTCCTCGTCTCGTCCTCGTTCTCCTCCTCCTCCCTCCCTCCTCCTCCTCCTCCTCCTCCTCCTCCTCCTCCTCCCTCCTTCTTCTCCCCCTCCTCCCCCTCCACCCCCTTCCCTCCTCCCCTCCTCCTCCTCCTCCTCCTCCTCCTCCTCCTCCTCCTCCCCCTCCCCCTCCTCAACCTCCTCCTCCTCAACCTCCTCCTCCTCCTCCTCCTCATCCTCCTCCTTCCCCCCTCTTCTTCCTCCTCCTCCTCCTCCTCCTCCTCCTCCTCCTCCTCCTCATCATCATCATCTTGTCGGACGAAGCGGGGGCGGTGGTGAAGGAGGGCCAGCGAATCATAAAAGGGCCTCGGGGGACACAAATGGATCGATACAGACTCCATGATGACAAACAGTTGTGCATATTTCATGGGTTCCCCCCGTCCCCTCCACTTCCTCTATTTTCATACAATGTATCGAATATCAATGACTATGTGTGTGTGTGTGTTCGGGCCGAACTTTCCATCGTGTGTAAAGAGGTGTTGCCGAATCAGCCCACGTGGTTTATTTCTCCAGCGCCTGGCGGTGGAGGCGCCAGTATATCGAGGAAAACGCCCGCGGAGCCGAAATCATGCGCATGCAGCAGATTCGGTACCACCCCTTTCTATGACCCCATCCTTACGCCAGACACGAAACGCAGCCCAACCACGGACCCTTCGTCGTCCCTGGGATACCTTCAGGGCAACGTTTCGGCGGGGACTGGCCCAAGGAGGGGGGACATCGAGCTGACATCGGCGCGACAGATCAGCGACAGGCCCCCGATAGCAAATCCGCACGTTCAATCTGGCCATCGGGTGAGCAATCGGGCCCCTGACGGCGATCCGTGGGCGATTGGGGGTCGATGCGTCACCCCTTGAGCCTTCCCCCCCCCGACGTTGCCCCTGAACGCCGCGCAGGGCGGAGGTCCAGCGTGACCGGCGCCGGCGGGCGGTCAGTGGGCTCCACCAGGTCGGCCATGGTGAGCTGGGTCTGCGAGGCCTCCCTCCCTCGTTGCCCGCAGGTTCAGGAGAAGCCCCTCGCAGACTTAAAAGATACAGTCGGGGCGTTGACCTAAGGAACCCTAGATGAGGAAAGAGGCACCATTTTCTCCAGAAGTGAAACTTCGACTTCCCATGGAAGACCTAAGGCAAACCTGAGGCAAACTGTGAACCAATCAAGGAACACCGAGCCTCTCCCCAACGAAAAGGGCTCCTTCTTCAGCGCCCCGACTGTACTGGCGCCACATCTTTTTCGCAACGGGCGTCCTTGCCTCGTTTCTGGCCCTGGGGCCCTCACGGATCTATCAAGCTCGGGAAATGCGGCAGAGGGATGGGGTGTACGCCTCCCCGGAAACCAGTGCAACTGCAGCAGGCTGTGTCAAAACATCGTCAAAGGGACTTCCCTGGGCCCTCGGGATTCCGACAGACCCGGGTCCCAGTGTTCGGATGCCAAAAGCAGCGAAGAGCCGAAGACGTCGAAAAGAAAGAAATCGACGATTAAAGTTGCATTACAATCCCCTTGCAGTACAAAGACGAATAGTGATTCTTTGCGATGCCATTTTTTCCCAGAGTCGGATCTCGAGACGGAGGTGGGTGGCCGAAACGGAAACTGCGTTCCCGCCTCGCGCTGCGCTAGGCGCGGGGCACGAATCGTCTCGCGTTCTTGCGCTCCTCCACCCCCCCTGGAAGAGGAGGAAGACCCCTCTCCTGTCGCCCCTTGTCCCCATCTTGTGTATGTCCCTCTCTTCGCCTCCTTGCGTTTCACGCTTCATCGGCCGCACGCTCATAGACCAACCTCGGGCGCATCACGCTTGGCAGCAAGCGCGCGTTCTGTGCAAGCACGCTCGAAGAACGTGCGCCCCATGCATTGGAGATTGTCTTCATGATTTCTGGGCACCAACCGCGCCGGGCCTGAGCTGATAACAGTGCACCCTGCCGTGCCGGAGACCAACCCTGCCGCACCGGAGAGTGTGTTTATGGTTTCCCCCCGAACTGAACTGACACCCTGCCGGGCAGAAGCCCGCCCCGTTCGTGGGAGAGGTGGTCACGCGTCGCAGCGCTGCTCTGTGAAACTTCAGATCTGACAATACTGAACAAACAAAGCTCGCCACGAATCTGGATTCGCTGCTGCGCTCTGCCACGGGTTTGGTGAAACACCAAAGCCGTGCGAACTCAGAAATACACTGATCTCGTCACTCCACCGTTTCCGCGGTCTGCGCGGCCTTCGCCCCTGTGCTCTGCAATTTCTATCTGGGTCCCAGGACAAAATGTTGCTGGCCAGCATGTCGGCCGGCAGCGTTCCGATCCGGCCGCAAACATTCCATTGCAATTTGCGCAGCGACACGCACCAAACTTTCACGCCCCAGGACTCCATGCGCGTCTTTACTTTACGTGTACCACGCTGAACCCAACTTCGCCAACACTCCACACTGTGATGATCTGATGGAATTGGTGTGGTATCACCGCCCAGGCTGCTGGAACTTGTGTCCGATATCTCCACGAATCGCCAAGTCGGAACCCCTGAATGCCGTCTTCCGCGTGCGTCGTTGTGCTCGCACGAAGTTTGTCCTGCAACGGTCTCCGTATAACGTCCAGCGCAATGCCGCGCAGAGAGCTACGGGCGAGACGGCGCTATCGAAGAGCCAGGACCTGTCTCGAAATTTGTGCGCTTTGTACATAAGTTCTTCCCTGGTGGCGCACGAGCGCCTTCCACGCCTGCCCGAGACGGTGGTCCAGGTCCGCCCCGCGCCCCAGATGCTTGACATGCCCGCCCAACAGCATCATCACAATGCCCGATCATGAAATATTCGCAGAACCCGTTCGTTCCCGTCCGTCCCCTCCGTCCAGTCCTCGTCGGCGGCTGGGCTCGGCTCGAAAAGCGGGCGCGAAGTGGACCCTTTGCCTCCCCCGCGGTCGCTGCGGCTGGATTCGGCCCGATGCTGTGCATGTTCCGTTTGACGGCTGCCCCGGGCGCGACTGCGCTGCAGGCCGTGGCCCGTGAAGTACAACGGGGCTGGCCCGTTTTGGCCTGAGTGGCATTTTCGAACTGGCGCTCTTTTGTGACGCTTCGCGCAATCCTGGAGGAACAACTATATATATATATATATATATATATATATATGCACATACGGTTATGTGTATATATATATATATGTATATACATAACTAGGTATGTATATACATATGTACGAACAGAAAGAAGGAGAGAGAGAGAGAGACAGTGAGAGAACACATACCAACAAGATGATGTAGAGCGAGCGCGCGAAAGAGAGATATGGAGAGAGAGAAACAACGAAAAAGAGACAAGCACGCACGAACACCAATCTATCTAGATAGAGAGAGAGAGAAGGAAAGGGAGAGAGAGAGAGAGAGAGAGACAAACAAAAACAAACAGAGAGAGAGGACGCATTACAAAACAAAGAGATCGGACACGCAGACGAGCGTCCCGTCGCAGCCGGCAACTGCGGTAGCCAAGGCCGCCAATGCACGCTTAGCGGCAGGGCCCACCTTGGGGCACGGGGGACGTTGAAACAACCGCCTCTCGGCGCAAAGCGACTAAGGCAAGAGGCGGGGCGCTGAGCAGGCGATGCGCCGCGTCTCTCGGCGCCCCGCGGCGGAAGGGCCTTCGTCGGCAAAGCCCCGTCAGCGGCCATGGGACAGGGGCTCTGCCGCTAAGCGGCTTGCGAAAAGAGGGCCCCCGCCCCCGCAGCCAGGCGCCGACGACGCGCGGCCGCGCGGTGAATCGGGATAGCACGAGGGGGGGCCGAAGACTGGGCAGGGGGCCCTGCGCAAACTTGCACGGCCCTGAGCAGGTCGCGCCATCAGGTGACGGGCTGGCAGAAAGAGACGCGAAGGTTTCGCGGGCTCGGCGGAGGCG